CCAATAGAACTATCTGAAGCATCTGCTTCTATTATAAGTTGGTATCCAGGTTTCGGATAGGTTAATGCAATAGCATTCTCTACACATTTTATTAGAGTTTCAAATGCATTTTGACATTCTTTTGTTCATTGAAAAGGTGAATCTTTCTTTAACAGATTGTAAATTGGTTTCGCGATTTTAGAAAAGTCTTTTATAAATCTTCTAAAATAGTTCATGAATCCAGTAAATTGTTGGACTCCTTTTACGTCTTTAGGAACTTTCAGTTTTTTAGCTTCTTCTTTCTTGACTTGATTAGGGTGTATCTTTCCAAATGATACTAAGTGGTTCAAAATTTTGGTTTCTGTCTTACAGAATTCGCATTTTTCAAGCTTTAACACCATGCCCGCTCTTTTTATGCTCTCGAATACTATTTCGAGATTTTTTAATAATTTCTTGAGGCTTTGTGCTAGTACTGTTACATCATCCATATATACTACTATGAATGATAAGTGAGAAAATATTTTATACATATATCTCATCATATACACTGGTGCTGTTTTTAGTCCCATAGGTAATACTGTTCATTGGTATTTTCCTTTTTGAGAGAAAAATACTGTTGTTTTATCTCTTTCTTTTTCTGATAACGGGAATTGATGATATGCGGCTTTAAAGTCTATAGTCGCATAGTATTTAAACTGAGCTATCTTTTGTAAGAAAGTATTTATATATGGTATCTCAAATGGGTCGTCTTTTATATACAAATTTAGCTTGGTATAGTCACAAGCTATTCTATAGCTTCCATCTTGTTTTTTAATTATTACCAGTGGTGATGTTCAGTCTGATATTGAAGGTTCTATATATTTATTTCTTATTAATCCTTCAAATAATTCGTTAGCTTTTTGTTGTGATTCATTATCTAAAGGTCTTGCTCGCATTCTTGATTTATGAGCTTTAGGTATTTCTTCTTCAGGTACTTTTAACGGGAATGTTATTGGTGTAAAGTTTTTAGAGTTAAAAACTGTAGCTTCTTCAGGTTTCATACGGAATACATCTTTAATGTATTTCTTGAACAATGGTTCAAACATTGTTCTATATTTTGGGTCAGTGTTTTTGATTAATATTTCAAGTCGTTGTTTTTCGTTTTTATTATCATTATTCTTTGGTTGAAAATCGAAGATTTCTTTGACTTGTTCTAGGTTTCCTATATGTGTTTCTTTAGGTATATTAATTGGCTTATTCGTCCAATTAAATATCTGTATTTTGTTTACCGAATCTCGGATTAATCTGTCTTGGAGGGATAATCCGTTTTGTGCAATATGTATTGGTGTTTTCACTAAATATTCTTTTCCTTTTTTAGGATTTCCAATATATATTGTTGTCTACATATATGGTTTTATAATGTGTGTTTTGTTTGTGAATATAGGTGTTCCTTTGCCTATTGTGGGTATGATATGTCGTCGTATTGCATTTGGTATATGTTTTAATGCTTTGTGCATTTTAATAGTTTTTCCAGTCATTTTGATTGGTTTATATTGTAGTTCAATAGAATCTAGTTCTTTTTGGTATCCATATTGGTTATTACTTTTACTTGGTAATGGGGTTGAAGGTCGTTCACCTGTTGGTTTAAGTTCAGGTGATACTTCTTCTGATTGGTATAATGATGATTGTTCTGATTGTTCATTTATTCGTAAGGATGGTTCATAGGGTTGGCTATCGTGTCCGGTTATTCTATATTCTATATTTGATCCTGGAGGGAGTGAGTATTTATGATCTTCTGAAGGTACTTCCCATATTTCTTTTACTTGTTCTTCATTTGACCTTTCTTTGCCTTTAGTAGTTTCAATAATAATTGAACTGAATTGTTCAGGTTCCTTATGCCTTTGATTAAAGGATATTTTTCTACTTCTGTAGAATTCTTGTTCTTCTGGTGATACTTGGTTACCTTCTTCTTTTATTTGTGACACTGCACTATCTTTCATTGCAGTTTGTCTTAAATCAGGTATAGTTTTCTTTTTAGAAAACCTTGGTAGGTATAAAGTTGCTGTTGAGAATGTATCGCTAAGTTTTTCTTCAAATGATTTTGGTTTTGTTGGTACTATAGTTATTGGATGCGGTGAAGCATCCAGTTGACTAAAATCATTTGTATCTTCTGTTGAATGTATTGATGCTGTTCTAGTATGTGTTGGTGAGGTATTCGTAGAATACCTTGGTGACGGTGGAGGTATTAGTTCTTGTTGCGAATAAGAGGATTCGCCAATATTTAGTTCTGACATATTAGGTGAAATATATGGCTTCTGGTATTCATCAGAGTCTACTATTTGTTGATCCTGGTGTAAATTTGTAAAGAATGTATCTGACTCTTCTTGGTGCATTTTGTCAGATATTACACTGTCAGTATCGGTATCTTTAATAATGTTACTTTTTGTTTAACGTCTTTGTTCAATTTGTTGTTTTTTATCGAATCTTGCTGTTTCTACAGCAATATTTGCCCAATATCTTTGTCTAGCTATTTCTCTTTTTTCATGGTCAAGATTATTGTTATTCATATCTCCTATTAATTGTTGCATTACTAGATGTCTATCAGCTATTTGCATATTCGCAAATTGTGATGGTTGTATCTTTATTGCATCGTCATATGTATAATAGAATTGTTTTTCTCGTTCAGCTATTTCATCTTTATAATATTGT